CAGGCCCTGCAGAGCCACCAGCGGGGTCACCCCTGCTGCCCCTCTTGGGGACACATCCAGCCTGCCAGGTGTGTTCTTAGCACAACGCCTGCAAACAAGGGCCAAGCTCCAGCTTGCGCTGCCTCCCGCCAGCCCTGGGGACCCCTCTCCACACAAGCACACCTTGGAGAAGCAGAGGGACACGGAGTCACAGTGCTGGGCGATCTGAGCAGGCTCCACGCCCTGGGCCACCGCCGCATTCATCAGCCGTGCGCCGTCCATGTGCACCTGCAGCCCGTAGTGGTCAGCGAGCTCACGGACCTGGGGGCACAGGGGCAGCTGGTCTGAGATGGACCCCTGGGGCATCTTGTCCACTGTGAACTGCGCTCTGAGCTCCAGCGTCCCCAGAGCATCAATGTGCTGGGTCCAGCTGCTCATGTCAGGCAGGATTGTGCCAGCACTGTCCGTGGGCTCCCACCTGCCTGAGGTAGGTGAGGGGCAGCACCCGGCCTCCCGCCGAGCTGTGCGTGTTCTCCAGGCAGATGAGCTGAGGGCGTGGGTGGTACCGGCTGCCATGGGCCTCGCGGATGGTCAGCTCCAGCTGGTCCAGGTCGAAGGTGCCGTCTGGCAGATCTGGCAGGGCTTGGGAATGGACACCGGCAACCTGCAGCCAGGGCGGGTAAGAGCACAGAGCCAACAGGGGACAGGGGGGTTCCAGCCCTCTGCCCCTCTGTCCCCTCCATCGAGTGTGCTCAGCCCCTACTCATGCACAGCCTGTGGTTTGGGACAATCCGGGTGATGCTGTGGCAGTGGGTCCTCTGCCCAGCCCAGCCCTGGCAGCCAGAGGAGGGCAGCACATGGCCGCCCTCCTGCCCCTGCCTGCACTGCCACCAGTGCCACCGTGCCGCCCTCGTACCCACCTGTGCGGCCCCACCATGCTCATAGAGGTGCAGGTGGGCGTTCTGGCCCAGGAACAGCTGAGTCCCCCTCTGCTGGCAGTGGCACATCACTAGGGGAAGAGGGGCCGTGAAGGAGGATTGCCAAGGGCAGCACCCCACAGCTCTGCCCTACCACCCCACGACTTCCCCGGCAGCAGTGGGGCTCTGCCCCGGGGAAAGCAGAGGGGGCCCCGGCCCCAGCAATGCTCTCCCGGGGAACGGGGCTCTGGGGACCCGAGAGGCGCAGGGCTGTCCGGGCCCTCCACACGTCCCACGGGACGGGGGCACCACCTGCCCCCGGAGCGGGCCTGGGGGCGCGGGGAGCAGCGAGCGCAGCCCCGGACTCACCAGCAATAAGGTTGGCCATGGTGGCCGTGGGCACGAACAGAGCCGCCTCCGTCCCCAGGGTCCCCGCGGCCCGGCGCTGC